TTTTTTGAAATTTTTTTTGCCATCAAAATGGTTTTATTATACTGAAATGTAATATAGATCAGTAAAATAGTTCTGTTTTCAAAAATAAACATTTATAAAACACTTGTTTTATAGTACAACAAAATAAAGTCTTTATCAGATACACAGATGACACCACCCTTATGGCAGAAAGCAAAGAACTAAAGAGCCTCTTGATGAAAGTGAAAGGGGAGAGTGAAAAAGTTGGCGTAGAACTCAACATTCAAAAAACTAAGGTCATGGCTTCCAGTCCCATCACTTCATGGCAAATAGATGGGGAAACAGTGGAATCAGTGACAGACTTTATTTTTGGGGTCTCCAAAATCACTGCAGGTGGTGACTGCAGCCATGAAATTAAAAGACGCTTGCTTCTTGGAAGAAAAGCTATGACAAACCTAGACAGCATATTAAAAAGCAGAGACATTACTTTGCCAACAAAGGTCTGTCTAGTCAAAGCTATGGTTTTTTCAGTAGTCATGTATGGATGTGAGAGTTGCACCAGAAAGAAAGCTGAGTGCTGAAGAATGATGCTTTTGAACTGTGGTGTTGGGAGAAGACTCTTGAGAGTCCCTTGGACAGCAAGGAGATCCAACCTGTCCATCCTAAAGGAAATCAGTTCTGAATATTCATGGAAGAACTGATACTGAAGCTGAAACTCCAATACTTTGGCCACCTGATGTGAAGAACTGACTCAAGACCCTGATGCTGAGAAAGATTGAAGGCAGGAGGAGAAGGAGAGGACAGAGGATGAGATGGCTGGATGTCATCACCAACTCGATGGCCATGAGTTTGAGCAAACTCCCTGAGTTGGTGAGGGACAGGGAAACCTGGCGTGCTGCAGTCCATGGGGTCACAAAGAGTTAGACATGACTGAGTGACTGAATTGAACTGACATTGATTATGAGAATATTTAGAAACAAAAGCAGGATAGTTATTCTGGGTAATAGTCATATTTTTTACCAGCTTCTTAGATGTATCTGTCTCTAATATGTTGTTAGAAACAGATATATAACCATTATTCTACATGTTTCTCTAAATTTAGATGCTGTAAAACCATACTCTGTCTTTAATTCCAGTACAGAATATAAATTTATATAGTTAAAAATAGGAAGACTTTTGATGGAACTTCTACAATTCATTACTTTAATTAAATCTCATGTTCTGTTTGAACTCATTCAATTTGTTCAGTACTTAACATTGCTTTTGAGGGATGTTTCAGTGCCTTGGTAAATTTTCTTTCTGCTGCTGCTGCTAAGTCACTTCAGTCATGTCCAACTTTGTGCGACCCCATAGACAGAAGCCAACCAGGCTCCCCCATCCCTGGGATTCTCTAGGCAAGAACACTGGAGTGGGTTGCCATTTCCTTCTCCAATGCATGAAAGTGAAAAGTGAAAGTGAAGTCGCTCAGCTGTGTCCCACTCTTAGCGATCCTTGGACTGCTGCCTACCAGACTCTGCTGTCCATGGGATTTTCCAGGCAAGAGTACTGGAGTGGGGTGCTATTGCCTTCTCTGAATTTTCTCTCTAATAATTGGTATTTTCTAAAAACTTCAAGCTGAAGGTTTTTTTTTTTAAATCTTTTTTCATTGAACTTTAGTCTTCGATTAAAGATTTCCCACTGATTTTGAACAATATGCAACCAATCATTAAAGGATTTGCCTTCAAAAAGATTCAGTAGTGAGACACTTAGGTTGGGTTTATAAAGTCAGTCTTTGAAAGATTCCAGCCTTTAAAATCTGATGACAGGTTGCAAGTAGGGAACACATATTTCCACGTTTAAGTATATTTTTGTTTTGTTTTCAGTACCATTTTTATCCTTACAATTTTAACGGTGGTTATATGTAAACATTTGTAAGTTTTGGCAATTGCAGCTAACTCATTAATACTGATGCCACTAGAGTGCCATGATAAATAGAAGTAACCTCAAAAGTTTTATGCAATTTTCTATTTTCTAGAGAAATTTTAGTACGTAATTTTGTATTAAACGTATAATTTCTTCTCTTTAGCTCATTGTTCTTGAAAGGATTTATCGGGTGATAATAAAGATTGTCAAGCAACCAAATAAACAGTTCTAGAATTATACCATACAATAAATGGCAAAACCATCTTGAGGTTTTAGACTATGGACTCCTCACACATACTTCATTTGCACCTCACCTGTAGTTTCTCACTTACTTCGCTGGCTAGTGGCCTGGTGCATGTTGTAGGTCATTGCACATCTCACTGAATCAACTGCATCAGCAGGAGCACCAGTATTAAATATTCCTTCTACTGTCTCAAAAGGATATAAAGAGTTAGCTGTCCATGGTTGCTTATGTCTGAGGATACTTTTCACTGTCTTCTGTATGATGTCCTTGAAAAGGTGTTATGTTTTATCTGTAAAGAGTCAGGGGAAAGATGGAATTATCACTGGTCCTTTTTACAATTTCATCACTTGTTCAAGTGGTTAGAACACTTAAGACACTGTTAGCTTGGCCAGAAAATAGGTGAATACAGTAGAGGTGTTCTAAATTCATCTTGGTTTATTTTAATGTGGTGATTAATGAAAAATACTTCATTCAAGGAAGTGAAAACTGTGAGACAAGTGGTAAACCACATGGGATGTTGAGACAAGAGATTGTACTGTCCTGAGCAAACTAGGGCATATGAGAAACAGCATGGTAATGTGAAAGAGTATGGAACTTAGAGTAGGACAGACCTGCATTTAAGTCCAGGCTCTGCCATTTAAAAACTTGGACAAATAACCTGTCTGAAACTTGGTGTATTAGGGTTCTCAGAGAAACCGAACCAGTAGGACAGACACTCACACTGACCAATTTAAATTTTAAAGAATTGACTCATGTCTTTGTGGAGACTGGCAAGTCCTAAATGTGCAGGGCCTGTTGGGGACTGAGGGGAGAGTTGATGTTGCAGTTGAGTCTGAAGGTGATCTCGAGGCAGAATTACTTCTTCCTTTGGGGAGATCAGTCTCTCTTAGGACTTTCAACTGCTTGGATGAGACCTGCCCACATTACGGAGGATAATCTGTTTTATGGCTTTAAATGTTAATCACATCTAAAAAAAATACCTTTACAGTAACATGTAGACTGGTATTTGACCAAACAACGGGGTTCTCTTGCCTCACCAATTGACAAGTAAAACTAACTTTCACATGACGTTTCTTTCTTTACTTATTGGTAAGATAATATATGACTCACAGGATTAAGTGTGGTAGTATTTATAAAGCACTTAGTATAATGTGTTCTCAGAATAGGCACTGAGTGCATGTTGGCCCATTAAGACTATAAGCCCAACTTTGATGCTTGAAGATCTTTTTCCCTGTTCATCTTTGTATTTCTTACTAAACTTCTCCTGTCTCTTCATCTACTTAATAAGTCCTGTCAAATCTGTCTTAAAAACTTTTTCTTCAAACCAAACCCTTCTTTTTCACCCTTGCCAGTGTTTAGGTCCTCTACAGGGCCGTTAAAATTTTGTCCTGAGTAACCCTGTGTATGCCATCCTACTTTCCCTCTTCACGTACAAATAATCACTTAGTTAATTAGTATTAACTAGTATTAGGCTCTTGAGTGTGTCCTCTTTTCCATCCTTATTTTCTTTACTTTTACCATGGGAGTTGAAGCCCTTCATCAGTTGTCTTTGGTAACAGTGGTCCCTAACCTTTTTGGCACCAGGGACCAGTTTCATGGAAGATAGTTTTTCCATGGACTGGGGGGTTGGGTGGAGAGGACAGTTTCAGGATGATTCAAGTACATTATATTTATTGTGAACTTTATTATTATTACATTGTGTTATATAATAAGGTAATAATACAACTCACCATAATGCCTAATTAGTAGGACCCTTGAGTTTGTTTTCTTGCAACTAGAGTGATTATAAACACAGATGAAATTTCGCTCCCTTGCCTGCCCCTCACCACCTGCTGTGCAGCCTAGTTTGTAATAGGCCATCGACCAGAATGTGGTTGGGGTCCCTTTATAATCTTATCTCTAATCCTTATCACCGTTTAGAACTCCTTACTATTCTCGACAAATGTAACTGAGATTTCTGTTGATTGCATTTATACCTTTGGGTGGAATCACTGTCTCCCCTACTCCCCTATACCTCAGATTTCTGCACTGGTGTCACCCTCATGAAACCTTCCTGTATTTCCTCCCAATTCCAGAACATTCTTACACATTCATGTACAATGAACCTGAGCCTTCAAACATTGATACTCCTCAGCTGCCTTTCAGATGAGATAATATATCTGTTCATCAGCTGACCTAGGAACTGTTTAGACTGTATTATGAATTGAATGGACTTCCCAGGTAGTGCAGTGGTAAAGAATCTGCCTGCCAGTATGAGACACGCAGGTTCCATCCCTGGGTAGAGCAGATCCCCTGGAGGAGGAAATGGCAACCCGCTCTAGTACTCTTGCCTAGAAAGTTCCATGGATGGAGGAGCCTCGTGGGTACAGCCCATGGAGTTGCAAAGAGCCACACACACACGTGGACTGAATACCACTCCCTGCTACACGCATTTCAGATCTGATATTAATACCACTTTTTTGTTCATTAGTTTGTATATTCACTTGATTATTTTATTGAAATGGTTTTTAATTTTGTTCATAGGTACTTTGGGGACTTGGGTAGAGGATGAACCCTTAAGGTTTTGGGCTTCTCAGTTGCTTTTTAACCAAATCATTTCACCATAATTTTTTATATGTTGAGTTTCTGAGTAAAATTTTAGGAGAGGAAAAGAGTTCTGATATCAAAAACAATTTTAAAATTCCTGTTTTGTTTCTTGTCTACCCAATTCTTGGTAATCTACATGGCTACCTTTATTTATTCTCCCTCCCCCCCAAAAGAAACAAAATTGAAAATTTTGAAATCGTGGATATATTAATTGTATTTATCTTCATTTCATGTATCTGTTGAATGAATGTAATTATATTAATAAAAGTCATTGAATAGCATTTAATTTCTAATTATTTATTTATTTTAGTTATCAAGTGGAAATCCTCTTTATGAGAAATACTATAGACAGGTAAGATGATTGTTTCTTATAGAATATACTTTCAACTCCTGATTGTATTCAGCCAGCTGAATAAATTTGACATTTCTTGTTTTCATTTTCTTGTGCTTTAATTTCCTGCTTTGATTAATGTGTTTAACAAGTTTTCATAAAAATTAAGGAAAGATAATTAAGCCCAAACACTTGTCTTAAATATCTATCTTAAAAATCGATGTAGCATTAGATATATTCATCCAGATACAAACATCCAAATTAATTTAGAAGTTATTTAGAAATGACTTTTTTATGTTATTTTAAAGATGTTTTAAAGATTAATTTTCATCAAGTTGAAGCCATACACTCATATAAATATAAAATGAACATGTATCAAAGATTTTTCTTCAACTCATTAATTATTGAGAGAACCAGTGAGATATAAAAATGAGAATGTGAGTTACAGAGATTTATATTCTCCATCAGAGAGAATTAATTTCACTGGTATGGATAGGAATCATTTGCATTACTATCAGTTTTATATAATTTAACCTGTTCCCCTACAGAGTATAAAATAAATAGCTTAGTTCATAGAAGTCAAAGGTGCAAACTATAGATCAGATAATCTTCTGAAAGCATAGATGGTATTATTTACCCATTTCCAAATATCAGATCATTTTTATTTATAATTTCTTCACTTTCTGATCATGATTACTGAAAAGGCTGGTCTCATAATATTTGATCCTATTTTCTACATAATTGCAGCAAGTTTTAATGAACCACTGTAGGTCTTCTTGTGTGACTTGCAAGCCTAAAGCCGTATACTTTTTTATACACACACACACACTTTTATATACGTGTATTTAACAGCTTCTAAGGCCAGGTAATTAGTTTCTGCTTAAAGCCTTTGTTATTTATACTTCTATTTTGAGGCTAGAATCCAAACTTTAGAAATTCACCTCTTCATATTTCATATGTAATTTGAGTGAATTTACCTCATCTTGGGATTTCCCATATTTGCTAAGGTTCCTGGCCTTCTGAGTAACCTTGCTTTAGTGCTTGAGACACTTGGGATCTTACAAACCACGTAGCAGGCTGGTCTTGTGGGGGCCTGGTAGACTCTGGCTCTGCATAGAGTCAGCCCCTGATCCTTAATAGTGTCTTGTTCTATCTGAATGAAAGAGAATCATTTCAAATATGGTCTTGTTTTTGTACGATTGGTTTACTCAACTATATCCTGATAAAAAGGAGAATAAATTGTTAATTTAGCTTGTAACTACATGGCCATAAAAGATAAGGATATTCATTAAAGGTTTTTGATTTCTGAAGGGTCAGTGCAAATCAGATACCATTGAAAATTATTTCATTCGGTTTACCAAAGCAGGGCCTGCTAAATTGAGGGATAATTTAGTAAAAAAGGGCTTTTCCACATATCCATTAGAAAATAGAATAGTAAAAATAATACCAGCAGTATTGCATGTAAAAAATCATAATTGAGTTTTCCTTAACACTTCATTCAGCTCTGTGTGATTAATTTGTGTTCTCCTGCATCTTGGGTCAGGAGTTTGCTTTTATGAGATACATCTACTTCCAGTATGCAGAGTCCTGGAATTTTGACTTGGTCTACTAGTATAGTCTGAAAGTTGTCTAAGTGATGTCAGCCTAGAAGTCTTTACCCAAAAGTCTATATTTTAAAGTGTTAATAGTTCAGAGTATGTGGTATTGTTCTTTCCATGAGGCTCTGAGACTCTTCCTTTGTTGAAGAGGTGTCGTGTAGCTTATGCCAGAGCCTTTAGGCAGATACCAGAGTACAACAGAAACTGCCTGTAGATGACAAAGACTGAATGGCTGTGTTTAATTATTATAGTATCCAAAAGAATGGAAGATAGCAAAATTGTTTACTGGAATAGAGTGCATAAGTATTTCTTCAGAGTTTGATCAGTGTTTCCCCTCAGTGCCTCTGTTTTTGGGCTATCTGGGGAGAGAGATGATTCTTTTCTTCTTCAACCCTTGTCAGGGAGTAGGCAAAGAAAAGGAGTTGTAGAGAATTCTAGAGGCTGATTTCCTAACCATTTTGTTCTTCCTTGATACCCAAAATGTGGATTGAGCAATTCTTTCTTGTTTGCTGAGTGCCTGATTTATCCCATGTTCTAGCACTTGAAAGAAAGGATTTCTCTTTTGCTTCTTTGCCGGGTTTGGTCTGTCTGGAATGCTTTGTATATGTTTTAGTAAACTTAATCTTTTAACTAAAGTGGAAAAACAGCTAGCTCACAAATATCCTAGTATCATGTTATTCTTCCCATGACTTTTTAAAATTTACTTTTCATTTTTTACAAATAAAACTTTACTTTAGGAAATCTCTACAGAAATGAGAGTCCTTTTTTTTGTTGTTTTTCTGTTCTTGGTGACCTCATTCTGTCTTAAAGGAAAGTCCCCATCAGTTAAAATGATGTGTTTCCCTTAATGTGCTTTAGGAACTTAGCAGTTTTTTAAATGTTACTTAAAGTTTATACTAGAATCACTGCTAGTTTTAGAACTGATATTGCTTTGATTTTTTTAATAAAGTGTTGCAGTTTCTTAAGAGTAAGTATAAAAGCAGAAGTTTATTATTTAAAGATATTAAAAAAGAAAAACAAACCAGGTAACTGTGCAGCTATTCACATTTATCAGAAGACCTCTTCAGAAATTATTGCTCTTTTTCTCTATTGCCATTCAAGTTTATTGGAATTTAAATGGCACCTATAGAAGACTTGGAATTAGAAGATATGTGTTAATATTATGACTCCACTAATTTGTTCTACATCCTCTGAGCTTCAGGGTTTTTTTTTGTTGTTGTTTTTGGTTTTGGTTTGGCCACACTGCATAGCTTGTGGGATCTTAGTTCCCTGACCAGGCATTGAACCCAGGCCCCAGAAATGAAAGTGCCAAGTCCTAGCTACTGGCTCCCCAGGGAATTCCCCGAGCTGCAGTTTTATCATTTGTGTAATGGACATGATAAAAAGCACATTGTAGATGGACAGTGCTCTCTAGATGGTACTCTTCTCATATGGGTCTCCAATATTACATTACACCTGATGCAAATATTACACCTGATGCGAAGAACTGACTCATTTGAAAAGACCCTGATGCTGGGAAAGATTGAAGGCAGGAGAAGGGGATGACAGAGGATGAAATAGTTGGATGGCATCACTGACTCAATGGACATGAGTTTGAGTAAACTGTGGGAGTTGGTGATAGACAAGGAGGCCTGGCGTGCTGCAGTCCATGGGGTCGCAAAGAGTTGGACACGACTGAGTGGCTGAACTGAACTGAACTGAATATTACATGGCCTTTGTTAGTGAGAGGATTCCTGCTCTCTTTTTGAAAAACTCAGTTCTCAAATCATAGGGAGGAATGCAGGTAAATAATCATAATTTTGTCTTTATGTTTTTTGTCAGCTTATGATTTGTATTTTTTCAGGTTGATACGGGCAATACTGGAAGGGTATTGGCTTCTGATGCTGCTGTATTCCTAAAAAAATCAGGACTTCCAGACCTGATACTTGGAAAGGTAGTATTTGTTCATTGTATCCATAACTAGATATAATGAATATTATTAGTGTAGATAAATTCAAATTCGAAAGACATCTTTAGAAACTTAGAAGTTAGAACTGAGTCATGAAAGCAGTTTCAGTAATGCAGTGGAGGGAATTTCTGGTGTAGTGATTTATCCTCTTGAAAAATATGGTATTTTTCAGATTTTTAGAAAACAAATTACTTTTTAGTAGAATGAAATGAGGAAGTAATGTACATTTGAGTGTTGGGGTAGAAACAGTGCAGACTGGGAACCTTGCCACCCACTCAGAATTGGCTGTTTCCCTGCTTCCTCTATTAGAACTGTCTCTTAACTGTGTTTAGTATGTGGTAAATAGAGTAGGAGATGAGAGGCTTAGGAAAGAGCACAAAGAGGTGGAAAGTCCCTCTCTTGGCTTGGTGTCCTTATAAATCCTTATGTATGGTATCGATATATATTCAACCCTGAAAAATAATCATTAATAATTTAATTATTCACAAATAAACATTAACTATTTCAGCTTACCCATAAGAAAGAATATCATCTTAATAAGGATCTAAAATCAAGGTAGCATGTTCTAGTAGAAAGAACACTGGACTTAGAACCTGGGTTAATAAAAAAGTCATTGGACTGGAAGTTAGAACCTGGGCTTCAGTTCTTTCCCTGATGCCTTGGATGTTCATGAGTAAGTCACTTAACCTCATTGGACCTTAATATCTTTGTGTAGGGTTACAGTAAGTGATCGTCAAAGTTTCTTTCCGCTTTTAATTCTACAATTCTTAAATCTGACTATCAAAAAGCATGAGGTTGTCTATTGCAGGAATTTTATTTTTCTGTAAGATGATTTTTGTTTTAAATATAGATTGATACTTTTCTTTTCTTCTAAATTTCAGATCTGGGATTTAGCTGACACAGATGGGAAAGGTATCCTGAACAAACAAGTAAGATTCAGAGACTGACATGAACAGTTTTTGAGTGATTCAGAATAAAAAATAGCCAGCAGTTTTTTGTATTTTTAAACTAAAAATTTGTTTTTGCAAAATTAGGGTTTTGTAAGGACAAGTGTTATAATAAGGAAAATACTTCCAATAACTAGACATTAAAGTACCTAATTCCCAAAGATTAGAGTTAGTTTGGTGACATTAGTTCTCCTAGAGTGTCAGTTTGAGCTGCTATAACAAAATACCACAAACAGCAGAAATTTATTGCTCACAGTTCTGGAGGCTGGAAGTCTGAGATAAATTGCCAGCATGATTCTAGTGAGAGCTAGCTTCTGGATTGCAGAGTTTTTCTTTATCCTTACATGGCAGAATGTGCTAGTGATTTCTCTCAACTCTCTTCTGTAAGGCACTAGGCCCATTTATAAGGGCCCTATCCTAGTAGTCTAAGTACTTCCCAGAGGCTCTGCCATTTTTTTGGGGAGTTTAGCTTTCAATATATGGATTTTGGGGGATACATTCAAATAATAACATGGGATTTATTTTTCCTAGTTATTCAGGGAGACTTTACTCTTTGTATCTTACTAAGTTTCTTATGTGTTCAGGGTTATAAATAAAAGTGGATTTTATTATTTATGTGTTAAGATGGTATTGCCTTGTACATTTGAAGGGAATCTCTTGGCTAATCAAATCTAAGTATGGTGTATTCTGGTCTAGGTTCTATTGCTAACATATAAACTAAAAAATGGTTTACAGTCCAGAAGTCAGTCTTGGGCCAGAAATATGTGAAGGGGTTGTGGGTATTAGACACCGTCAGAGTACTTTAAAGTTTCACTTGTTGGAGATAGATTTCAGAGTTCTACAGGATTAAATTCAAAGCTTGCTACATGCTGATACATTGGCTGAGTATTACTACTCAAAGTTAATTCCCCCTGTAGGGATAGCTGAAGCTGACTGAGAAAAAGGATGGAAAAACTAGGTGAGGGGTCAGAATACCCAGTCTCTTATTTAAGATTCCAAGGCTAGATTGTGGGTCCTCATTGGACCCCCTGGCCAGAAGAGCCAATTTGGTGCCTTGGAGACATTGGAAAACTAAATTCATGTGAGCATCCAGGGTGCTCTAGGCCCAAGTCAGCAGATTATTTGTTGAGTACCTGTTTTGAGCCAGGCTTTGGAGATACAGAAGTAAAATGTGATAGAATGTGATCCCTGTCTTAAGGAAGTTAATAGTAAAATAAATTCTTCACTGATACTCCTAGTCTTTGGATGTTTAGTTTGAATTGCCTTTGTTATATCCAGGTGGCGGGATTTATGGATCTGCAGTTAAACTTTGATGTTTGCATTGGAGGAATAGATTTTTGAATTAACGTATGAAATTAAGGACATAAACCAATACTTACTGAGTTTTTATGAGCCAAAAATGATAGTGCTTTCTTCCTATAGTGTGGTTTTTAATTTTCTTCCTTACAGTACATTGTAAGAAATTAGCCCCCCTTTTAAAGAGGTGTTTTTTTTTGTTTTTTTTTTTTTTAACTTGCCTAAGGCCTCATAACAAGTAGCAGAACTAGAATTCACTGCAGTAGCGTTTCACTTCAGAGCCCATCCATACTACCGGGGATGTGGATGTGATTATCTAAGAGAATTGAATCTCATGCAGAATGACAAGAGAAGAAGGGTTATTTATAGAGTTCAGCATTTAAAGGATGGGAGGAGACAAGACTCCACCAGAAGATACTTGGAAGGTCAGAGCAGAACTTGGACAGCTTTATGAAGCTGTGCTGGTAGAGGAGAGCTTCAGGGAGGGTCACACTGTCCAGGCTGCCAAAACAAGTAGGTTGAGGTTTTTTCTTTTTTTTTTTTTTAAGAGTCTATTGTATTTTGTAGCTATGAATTTGTGACAGTTGTTTCTCTGGCTAATGGTGGGAGTTGAAGTCAAATTGCATAGAAGCTTGTGTGGTGAATGAGAAGAAAAGGCGAGATCTTGAAATAGCATTTTTTCAAGATATTTACTAGTGAAGGCGAAGTACTGTATAAACAGACAACCTGCAGGTTTCTAGGAGTAGATTACGAATTGAGTAAGAAAGTTGTAGGTGAGAACAGGAGATTTGAGAAAAGCAGTAAAGGGTGGATTGCATCAGCAGCTGTACCTAGAGTATTGGCAAATTGTAAGTAATCCTGACTGGAGTAAAAAGCTTTTGTTATGCCTATTCTGATACTTGATTTTAACTGAGAACAGCTGAAAACAAGTTGCTTCAGTGTCTTCCCCACTTACTAATTAAATTTTGAACTGAGGCTTCAAATGCCAAAAATCCAAGGACTTTTGGGAGAGATTTATAAGTATTTTGAAGTCAAGCAGTTATATAATTGTTTCAGATGTTGCATAGTTATTCTTTGTAGCTTTTCTGGAATAACAGTGACTGAGTCATTTGAATGATTGATCTAGTGTCAAAATTTATAATCTTAAATCCAGATATGACTTTTGATAACCTTTTATTTATTTTCTTCTAGGTGTTATTTTCTTCTAGACTCTTTTCTAAGGTTCTTTTTCTTAAGTGATAAAAATAATTTCTTACCATTATTAAATATTCTTTGGAACATGATTATTAATCTTGGTATATTTCCCATATTGTGTATATCAGTTTATTTTCTCATATATATTAATATTTTTTGCTGTTTATTATATCAAGAATATCTTTGTACATAGAGCTCTTCTTGATTTAGAGCAAGTGTTTTTTAAAGCAAGTGTGCTATTGTATTCACTGAGACATAAAAATTTTGGAGTATTTGTGAATTGTTTTATATTTTCAGATTAAAGATATATGTGTAGATAGATGGATGGATGGATGAATGGGTAAATGGATAATGCTCTTAACATTCATACTTTTCTTTCTCAGGAATTCTTTGTTGCTTTGCGTCTTGTGGCATGTGCCCAGAATGGATTGGAGGTTTCACTAAGTAGTTTGAACCTGGCTGTTCCTCCACCAAGATTTGTAAGAAATGCTTTTAAATTGTATTTTAAAAACTGATACCACATGATTAGAAAGTAGTATTTCCTTGCTTATGTTTACTTTTATTTATTTAACTTCCTATTGATAGGCTTTTAGCTTGTTTCCAGTCTTTTATTATTTAAAAATTGCTGCAGTAAATAGAAACCTTGAATCTGTCACTTTGCATGTGCAGAAATATATGTATAAATTCTCAGATGTGGAATTGCTGTTTCAAAAGTTTGTGCGCTGTAATTTTCACTTACAACAGCTTGTCTTCCATAGTGGTTGTTCTAGTTCACAGTCCCACCAGCAATTGGCTCAGTGTACTTTCGCTGGCTTACTGTTGTCAAACGTTTGTTTATTGTCAGTTTGGTAGGTGACCAGTGGAATGTAAATGTGGTCTTAATTTATCCTTTTGGTTTTATGAAGTGAAGTTGAGTAGTTTTTCTCATGCTTATGAGCCATTTACATTGTCTTTATGTGAAATGTCTGTTAATGACTTTTGCCTATTTTTCTTTGGTTGTTGGTTTTTTTTATTGAATTCAAGAGGTTCGTAATATATTAGGGAAACAGTTGTTTGTCTATATGAATTGCAAATATTTTTTCCCAGTTTGCTATTTGTCTTTTGACTTTGTGGTGATTTGTTTTCCCATAAAGAAGGTATTGTATTTAATGTAAATGAATTATTTGAATTTAAGTTTTTTATGGTTTTTTTTGTTCACATTGACATTAGTCCTGATGTAAGGTGTGTATGGATTCAAATTTATATTTCTTCAAGATGACTACCATGTTTATTGAATAATCAGTCTTTTCCATACTGATTTGAAATGCCACCTCAATCATGACATTCTCATATGTATTTTTTCTGGATTTTTCTTTTATATCTATTGATCTGTTTATCCATATGTTGATTTCACATTGTTTCAATGATCATATTTGATAATTTATATCTGATAGGGCTAGTCCTCCCCACCTTACTGCTTTTTTCAGAAGTTTCATGGCTCTTCTTGTTTTTAAAATTCAGTATTTTAAAAGTATTTGGTCTAAGTATTATGAATTTAACTTCAGTTTTGAGAATTTCTATACTTCTGAGTTTAATTGTGGAGTCAGAGGGTTGATTTAAGGATTTGTTGCCTAACTATATACTGTTAGTAAAAATTTTCAAATATATCTGTCTCTACAAGCAAATAAACATAATAACTTAGACATGCTATTGGTAGGTTCCTATACTTATTGCTTAGAAATCTTAAGTTGTGCTTGTCCCTGTCTGCTTTCCTTAAATATTGTGGGGAAAAGTCATCAGTTAACAGGGCCATAAATATTTTTGTTACATTCAGATAACTGTATCTTCATTTTATTTTGATTACAGGTGTAATAGGATTTATTCTGTAAGACTTTAACATGTTTTAGTTAGTGCTCCACAGTTGTTTATGCAGTTAACACAGCTAATTCAGTTTTTGTTTCATTTGTACTTCAGTGAAAGTCTAAGTTAATGTTAAATAATGTCCTTTGTGTATTGAGATCCAGCATTTTGTCTGAGTGCTTAAATCCAAAGACAATTTCCTCTTCATTTTTTATTGATATGAGGATTTCAGCCATTCGTGTGGTATATTTTCCTTTTTAGCATGATACCAGTAGTCCTTTGCTAATCAGTGGAACCTCTGCAGCTGAGCTCCCATGGGCTGTAAAAGTAAGTAAACTTTTTGACTATTCTTTTACCACACTTTACTTCTTACCTACATAATCCTCTCCCCCTTCTTTCAAAATATATTGCAGGGTGTTTTAGACTTTCATTTTTTACTGTGGAGGAAATGCTGATACTAGAAATTGCTTGAGTCATGTTATTCTCTGTCAGTCATTTTTTGACCGTATTGGCTTAATCTCATTTCTGTTGTAGTGTAAACTAAAAATGGTGATATCATAATGTGGTATCAACTAAAATATTTGATGAATATGTAGTTTACCCCACTGGTATTATTTCTTATTTGAAAAGTTCTGCCTAACTAAATATTCTCTTTATGACTCTAAAACAATTCTTTATGAAATCTTTTTCTGAAATGTGTATATTACCTTATAGTTATTTAGAAACACCAAAATGGTTATAGCTATCTTAGCAGGTTTTAAAAATTGTAATTTAAAAATAGAATGTAGCCAATCAAATAATCTGTAATAAATGTATAGTTTTGACAGAAAACCATTTTGGTTTGTATGCCTTGTGTGCTACTACTGTGTAAGGATCTGGTCTTGGCAAATCATGAATGATAGTTTTTATGTTATGCAGATAATTTATAGAGATTTTAGGAAATACCTTGTTATTGAAAAGAAAAATCTTGCTTTGGAAAAAATGAGGGAAATGATGTTTATTTCTTTGGCAAGGATTTCTTTTAAAAAAATAATAAATTGAGTTTGAAATGTAATCAATGCCATGTTTAGAAAGTCATAGACACATAAACACATAGCTGTGTGTTCTTATAGAAGTTATTGCTTTGCTTTGGGTCTGTTTGAGAGGGTTGGACTAGGTTCTCTTCTCAAAGTCCTTCAATCCCTGAAATCTTTTGATTTTAAAATCCCTGACTTCACCTTAGCAGTAGAAAAGGCAAAGTCGATGTTTCAGTTACTAAAGGAATGGAAGGGATACTAAACTTTTGAGTGGAATAACTTAAATTACTATTTATTACAATATATTTGGATGAAAGTGAAATATGTTTTTTAAATGATGATTTTAAAAATGTTGCCTAGTCTTTGAGGACTTAATGTTTATAATTCCAGTTATGTTCTTTTCCCCATCATTTAACTTGCAAACTTTTTTTATATTATAGCCTGAAGATAAGGCCAAATATGATGCAATTTTTGATAGTTTATGCCCAGTGAATGGATTTCTGTCTGGTGATAAAGTGAAACCAGTGTTGCTCAACTCTAAGTTACCTGTGGATATTCTTGGAAGAGTAAGATGCTAAATTCTAAGTGTAACTTTTATGTATTTTAATTTTACTTTAAATAGAAACAATTTCAGTTCAGTCGCTCAGTCGTGCTCAGTCGTGTCCGACTCTTTACAACCCCATGTTTAGCTCACTGTTAAAGAATACATAGATCCTATTTTGAAATTGTGGTATTATAGAATTTTTTGTGCTCTCACTTAAAACTATTGCCAATTTCTTTCTTTCTTTGATTAGTCCCTCTAAAATATGAGTGTTTGAAATTAGTTGTCATAATCTTCTAGGTAAGGCCTTTTGTCTTTGGGTTGTATGCTCTGACCTCCCAGTTCCTTGATTTAATTTCCAGAAACCATCAGTATTCTACATCTCCCTTTACTCCATGACTATATCATGAGGCCTGGTTTCATTTCTGAAATCATAAATTCTACTCTCTAAAGAGAACTTCTTGGCTTTCTAGATTTCTTTCCTAGATACTTGCAAGACTAATTCTTTGACGTCATCAAGACCTTTATATCAGACTCTTATTGTCTCTGTCCTTTGAATTTACTTTTTCCTTCATCCATCTTGGATTCTTTTGGTTCACAGTTTCATGTCAGTATCCTTAGCTTTCTTTGCCGTGTTTTCTAATCTCTCTCCTGCCTGATGAAAATCTAACCTTACATGAAGCTAATTATTTGCCTTCTCTCTGGTTGCACTTGGACTATTGAGAAGGTCTCATGAGATTAGTATCCTCACAGTTTTGTGATCACCAGCTTCACCTGAGCTTTCTGTACTGTAGGCTCTCTTGTGCTGTTTGCATAGTGACTTCTTAATACACTTCTTTATATTTCAGACCTTGTCTGCTCTCTTTACTAGTCTTTTCTTTTATTTCTTACTTAGACTATATAGGGTTGAATCATAGCTACACTATTTCTTAACTGTGTGACCTTGGGCAAATCATTCGAAAACCATGTCTCAGTTTTCTGATCTTTAAAATTAGCCTCTTTTCTAGGGATTCCCTGGTGGCTCAGATGGTAAAGAATCCACCTGCGGTGCAGGAGACCCCGGTTTGATTCCTGGGTTGGGAAGATCCCATGGAGAGGGGATAGGCTGCCTACTCCGGTATTCTTGGGCTTCCGAGGTGGCTCAGACAGTAAAGAATCCTCCTGCAATGAGGAAGATCTGGGTTTGATCCCGGGGTTGGGAAGATCTCCTGGAGAAGGGAATGGCTACCCACTCCAGTATTCTTGCCTGGAGAATTCTGTGGACAGAGGAGCCTGGCAGCCTACAGTTCATGGGACGCGAAGAGTCAGACATGACTGAGTGACTTTCATATCACACCATCCTGTTTATAGAGTATACAAATTAGATGGGATAATGTATATAAAGTACCTAGCACAGAGCTTGCTACATACTCTTTGAATGTTAGCTGCCATGATGATGACGATGACAACAACTTACCATCACAACACCAGTACTGCTGGATCAGTGTTGTATAGTTTAGGTGCTAAACTAATTTTCTAGTCTTGTTTTCTACTAATTATTTTTATACCATATGATCAGTATTAGAGTTCTAAACTATACATGTAATCTTGTTATTTTTTTACTTGAAAGTTACCCTCTTAGGTAGCTTCCTATTGCATTAGGATAAAGTCTAAACTTCAAGGCCCTCAGCAACCAGACACTTGCTTATATTCACTCCTGTCTTTCATCAGCATACCTTCTCTTTCTGCCCCAAATAAAATTTTGTTGACTAACTTAAATACCTTCATTTCAACAATTTTAAATAGTTTATAGCTGGTCTAAAGCTATGGAAGATAGTCTAGTTTTAGACCAGATATACCAGGCCTTTAAGGTTTATCAGGCTTCCCTGGTGGCTCAGATGGTAAAGCGTCTGCCCGCAGTGCAGGAGACATGGGTTTGATCCCTGGGTTGGGAAGATCCCCTGGAGAAGGAAATGGCAACCCACTCCAGTATTCTTGCCTGGAGAATTCCATGGACAGAGGAGCCTGGTGGGCTACAGTCCATGGGGTTGCAAAGAGTCGGACACGACTGAGCGACTTCACTTTCTTTCTTTTTTTCTTTCTTTAAGGTTTATTCTCTGTATGCTCTGGACATTAGTTGCCTAATGATTAATAATACAATGTTCATTGAATATGTATTTCAGTTGATTAGCTATTCTGTATTATAGGGAAAACAACTAATGGACTTGGTTGAAAGTCTTCAGATCGATGACTGATTCTGTTACTTAATAACAGTTACATGATCCTAGAAAAGTCATGTAGTCTCAGGTCTGAAATAGTTTTATAGCACCACATGAAGTTGTTGCATGAAGTAACTGAGATGATGTTTTTCAAAAAACGTAGTTGTTTAAAATTGTTCAGTGGCTCAGTTTCATCCGACTCTTTGTGATCCCCCTGGACTGTAGCACACCAGTCCTTGACCATCTTCTGGAGCTGGCTTAAATTCATGTCCATTGAGTTGGTGATGCCATCCAACCATCTTATGTCTGTCGTCCCCTTCTCCTCCTGCCTTCATTCTTTCCCAGCATCAGGGTCTTTTCCAATGAGTCAGCTCTTCGCATCAGGTGGCCAAAGTATTGGAGCTTCAACTTCAGCATCAGTCCTTCTGATGAATATTTAGGACTGATTTCCTTTAGGATTGACTGGTTTGATGTCCTTGCAGTCCAAGGGATTCTCAAGAGTCTTCTCTTAACACCACAGTTCAAGCATCAAAAAGTTGTTTAAAGTACTGTGTTACATAATTGTTTTCTTAGTTGAGAGGAGCAAAATATTTTCTTTAAAAATTTGCAAAGTGATTTCTGTTTAAAACTACTTGGTATTAAGAATTATTATTAATTCTTTTTTTTACAGAAATTCTATTAGTGATATAATAATATGCTCGGCGTAATTGAAATTTCTCAGAAAAATAGATTTTATGTTTAGGAAAAACTTTTTCCTTCAAATATATATTTGATATATACAGTTAGCACATGAAATGATGTTAATCTTACCCAATTCTTCTCTTTTTAAGGTTTGGGAATTGAGTGATATTGACCATGATGGAATGCTTGATAGAGATGAGTTTGCTGTTGTAAGTAATCTAAAGCTTTTGAAATTTTAAACGTCTAAAAAAAAAAAAAGAAATTTTAAAGATCTTAATGGTTTTCTCAAGTGAAAATTTCCCCTTTTTGTTTATCTTTAGAGGAAAATTACATTTCTCTTAAAAATTGATGGTATGACTATTTTTACCTAGAATTTGTAGTCAATAAATATTATTAAGCAAATGTATTACGTAATGGAGAGTGAATGTTTTTGCCCTCTTCGTTTTATTTGACTTTAAGTTACATAAGAATACATGCTTTGGATAATGCACACTGAAGATGCTGAGTATAATCTTCTGAATCCCATCCTGACCAGGCATCTTAGTGCCTACTTCTGCTGTGAAATGTCTTTATTTCAAATATACTCCCAAATTTTCACTTTTGTTTCATTAAAGGAAAACATGAATAATACAACAGTTTCACCTCATTTATGGAAGCAGAGAAAGTTGAGACTTCTTATCCGAAGATATATTATCCGTAGTAAATGGATAGTTAATTCTTCAGAGAGCTGTTTTCATGTCTTCCTTAAGGGTTACATGAAATTTTGCTGTGAACTCAGGAATGATAAATCTCTAATCCCCCTTTTAATCTCTTATTTGGAAATAAGTCTTTTCAAGTTTTCTCTATTTTGCTAAGAAATTCTTTGACTTTCAGGTCTGCCACAAAATTGCACTATTCTTTATTCTCTTAAGGGTTTGTGTTTGGGTGTCTTTCTCTTTCCAAATCTTAACTTAGTTTTGCTTCTTGTTTTTTGTTTAACTGAATTTTTGTGTAGCCTATTAATCTTTTTAAAAAGAGGCATCTTTTCTGGTAGTGTCTTTAGGATTTTCTATGTATAGTATCATGTCATTTGCAAACAATGACAGTTTTATTTCTTTTCCAGTTTGAATTCCTTTTCTTCTTCTTACTGCTATATTGAATAAAAGTGATGAGAGTGGACATCCTTGTATTGTTCCTGATTTTAGAGGAAATGCTTTCAGCATTTTACTGTTCTGTTACCTGTGAATTTGCTCTATATGGCCTTTATTATGTTGAGGTAGGTTCCTGCTGTGCCCACTTTTTGGATAGGTTTTATCGTAAATAGATGTTGAATTTTGTCAAGAGCTATTTTGGCGTCTGTGAGCTGTTGAATTTTGTCAAGAGCTACTTTGGCATCTGTGAGCTGTTGAATTTTGTCAAGAGCTACTTTGGCATCTATGAACTGATCATACAGTTCTTATTTTTTTGTGTGTGGTGTCTTCATCTGTTTTGGGGCTTCCCTGGTGGCTCAGATGGTAAAGAATCTGCAATGCTGGAGACCTGGGTTTGATACCTGGGTTGGGAAGGTCCCCTGGGGGAGGGCTTGGTAACCTACTCCAGTATTGCCTGGAGAATCGCCATGGACTGAGGAGCCTGGCAGATTGCAATCCATGGGTCACAAAGAGTCAGACACAACTGAGCAGCTACGCACACAGCATCTGATTTTGGTATCAGGGTGATGGTAGCCTCATAGAATAAGTTTAGATGTATTCCTTCCTTTGCAATTTCTTTGAATAGTTTAAGAAGGATTGGTGTTACTTTTTTCTGAATTGTTGGTAGAATTTACAGGTAGAACCTGTAAAGCTATCTCATTCTGAATTTTTGTTTGTTAAGAGCTTTTAAATCACAGATTCAAGTTCAGTACTTAAAATTGGTCTGTTCATATTTTCTGTTTCTCCCTGGTTCAGTCTTGAGAGATTGTGTTTTTCTAGTAATTTGTCCATTTCTTTGAGGTTGTACGTTTTATTGCCATATAGTTGCTTGTAGTAGTCTTTTATGGTCCTTTAAGTCTCTTTCATTTATTTCTGCTTTGATCTTTATGATTTCTCTCCTCCTACTAACTTTGGGTTTTGTTTGTTCTTATTTCTCTAGTTGCTTTAGCTGTAATATTTGGTTGTTTATTTGAGATTTTTCTTGTTTCCTGAGGTAAGCTTGTGTTGCCATAGACTTCCTTCATAGAACTGCATTTGCTGCATTTGATAGTTTTTAGATCATCATGTTTTCATTTTCATTTGTCTCTAGATATTTCAGTTCCTGTTTGTTTTCTTCAGTGACCCATTGGTTGTTTAGTAGCACTGTTTAGCTACCACGTGTTTGTGGTTTTTGCAGTTTTTTTCCCTCTTAGTTGATTTCTAATCTCATAACATTGTGGTTGGAAAACATACCTGATAAAATTGCAATTTTCTTAAATTTACTGAGGCTTACTTTATGGCTCAGCATGTGTTCTATCCTGGAGAGTGTTCCATGCGCACTTGAAAAGAATGTGTATTCTGCTGCTTTCAGATGGAATGCTCTATTAATATTAGTTCCATCTGGTCTAATGTGTCATTTAAGTCCTGTGTTTCCTTACTGATTTTTTGTCTGGATGATCTGTCCATTGATGTAAGTAGGGTGTTAAAATTCCCTACCATTACTGTGTTACTGTCAGTTTCTCCTTTTATGTCTGTTAACATTTACTATATATATTGACATGCTCCTATGTTGGGTGCATTTATATTTATAGTTGTATCTTCTTGATCCCTTGATCATTATGTAGTGTCCTTTGTTGTCTCTTATAACAGTCTTTATTTTGAAGTCTGTTTTATCTGATTTGAGTATTGGTACTGCAGCTTTCTTCTGATACCCATTTGCATGGAAGACCTTTTTTCATTCTCTCAATTTCAGTCTGTATGTGTCTCTAGATCTGAAGCGAATCTCTTGTAGACTGCATATATGTGGGTCTTGTTTTTGTATCCATTCAGTCAGTCTGTGTCTTTTGGATGGAGCATTTAATCTATTTTCATTTAAGGTAATTATTGATATGTATGTTCTTATTGCTGTTTTATTGTTTTGAATTTGTCTTTATAGGTCTTTTTCTTCCTTTCCTCTTTTGTTCACTTGTGATTTGATGACTTTAGTTGTGTTTGGATTCCTTTTTTGTGTGTGTGTATATATGTATTATAGATTTTTTGATTTGCAATTCCCATAAGGTTTTGATATAGCAGTCTATATATATTTCCATGGTTGTTTTAAGTTGCTGATCTCTTTAGTTCAAATGCATTTCAGATACCTTGCTTTTGTACTCTCATCATGATTTTTGGTTTAGATACCGTATTTGTGTGTGTATGGTTTCCCACCTTTACTCTAGGTTTGCCTTTACCAGTGAGCTTTCCCATTTCATAATTTTCTTGTTTCTCATTGTGGCCTTTTCTTTTCCACCTAGAGAAGTTCCTTTAGCGTTTGTCATAATGCTGGTTTGGTGGTACTGAATTCTTTTTTGCTTTTGCTTATCTGTAAAGCTTTTGATTTCTCCATCAAATGTGAACAAGAGCTTTGCTGAACAGAGTATTCTTGGTTGTAGGCTTTTCCCTTTTATCCTTAAATGTATCATGCCACTCTCTTCTGTTTGTAAAGTTTCTGCTGAAAACTCAGCTGATAACTTTGTGGAGATAGCTTGTATGTTATTTGTTGCTTTTCACTTGTTAGTTATAGTATTTTTTCTTCCTCTTTAATTTTTGTCAGTTTGATTACTATGTCTCAGCATGTTCCTCCTTGGGTTGATGCAGTATGGTACTCTCTGTGCTTCCTGGACTTCGGTGACAGCTTCCTTTCCCATGTTAGAGGAGTTTTCAGCTGTCATCTCTTCTCAGGCCCTTTCTCTCTCTTCTCCTTCTGGGACCCCTATAATGCAAAGTTGCTGTGATTGACATTGTCCCAGAGGTTTCTTAAACTGTCCTCTTTTCTTTTCCGTCTTTTTTTCTTTATTCTGTTCCATGGCAGTGATTTCCAGTACTCTTTCAGCTCCCGTATCCATTCTCCTGCCTCATTTATTCTTATGTTGATTCCTTCTAGTTTATTTTTTATTTCAGTTATTGTATTCTTCAACTATCTTTGGTTGTTCTTCATTTTTTCTAATTATTTGTTAAAAACTTATTGTAACTTCTTGCTTTATGCTTGAATTCTTTTCCCAGGTTCTTGGATTATCTTTACGATCATTACTCTGAACTCTCTATTGGGTAGATTGCCTATCTCCATGTCACTTAGTTGTTTTTATGGGGTTTTATCTTGTTCCTTTGTCTGGAACATAATCCTCTGCCATCTCCTTTTGTCTAAAGTTCCATTTGTATTTTTATGTATGTGGAAAGTTAGTTATGTTTCTCGACATTGGAGACGTGGCCTTCTGTAGAGGATGTCCTTTGTGTACCGGCCGTATACTTCCCTCTCATCACCCAGTGACCAGGGATCAGTTGGTCCCAGGGTAAGTTCTGACCTGTGTTTGCAGACTCAGTTATGTAGGCTGTGGCACTGTATATTTCTTGCTTCTGGTGTTTTCCCCCTGTTGGGTGAGGCTGGTCTAGCTTCCTGGTGGTTAGGGGCAGGCTTCTGCCCACTGATGGGTGGAACTGGATCTTGGTTCTTTGGTGTACAGTGCCATGTCAAGGAGTGTGTCTAGAGGTGGTTGTGGTCTCAGGAAGTTTTTAGGCAGCCTATCTTTTGATGGATGGGACTGTGTTCCTGCCCTGTTGGTTGTTTGGCCTGAGGTATCCCAACACTGGAGCCTAGGGTAGGCTATTGGCTCGGTCAGGTCTTGGTGCTAATGTCCCAAGCAAGATATCTTCTGGGTGTATTTGAAACTAGCTTTTGCATTCTAAGAGAGAGCCACCCCCACCCCCTACCTTGGTGGGAAACCCTCCAAGACCAACAGGTAGGTCTGGCCTAGGCTTCTATGAATTTACTGCTTTTCCTTGGTTCCTGGTGCACATGAGACCTTGGGTGCACCTGCCAAGAGTGTAGTCTCTGTTTCCCCCAGTCCTATAAAGTAGGATCGCTGACCTTCTAAGCCAAGGGCTCTGGGGACTCTTCCGACTGATGCCAGACCCACAGACCAGGGATCCTAGTGTGGGGCTCAGAGCTCTCTCTCCTCGGGAGATCTGCTATATGATTATATTCAGTTTGTGAGTCTCCCATCCAGAGGTGTGGGATTTGGTTATAT